GATAAGACTGTGAAAGCTGAGTTTTTAGGAATAACTCGCTCTATAGAAGACGGACTGATGGACCTACCTGTCTCATTGATGCTGGAAAGGGTTCCATGGCTGTCACTCAGATGATCTTCAACATCCTCATCCATTTCTTGACCTTCGCTCCTCTAGAGATACTCAGTTTTCTGCCTACTGACATCCTTTATCAAAATAGGAAAGACTCTGAAATCAAACATTAACATTTGTTGGGCGATTATATTTCACTTTGAATTTTAGTCTTTATATCAACTTAACCAGTCATTGCCATGTTAAAAAGTGTTTTGAGGGGGCTGGCCCCATGGCCGAGTGGTTAAGTTCACACGCTCCGCTGCAGGTGGCCCAGTGTTTCGTCGGTTAGAATCCTGGGTGCAGACATGGCACTGCTCATCAAGCCACGCTGAGGCAGCATCCCACATGCCACAACTGGAAGGACCCACAACGAAGAATATACAACTATGTACCGGGGGGCTTTGGGGAGAAAAAGGAAAAAAATAAAGTCTTTAAAAAAAAAAAGTGTTTTGAAAACTCTAGCTGTAGAATGAAAGATTTGATCCCCCTTTTTTTTCCCAAGGAAGATTAGCCCTGAGCTAACATCTGCTGCTAACCCTCCTCTTTTTGCTGAGGAAGACTGGCCCTGAGCTAACATCCATGCCCATCTTCCTCTACTTTGTACGTGGGACGCCTGCCACAGCATGACTTGCCAAGGGGTGCCGTGTCTGCGCCTGGGATCTGAACCAGCAAACGCTGGGCTGCTGAAGCAGAACGTGTGCACTTAACTACTGCGCCACCGAGTGGTCCCCCAGATTTTATCTCCTTTTTATACTCTAAGTAAGCAGATGGGGAGAAATATTTTTGCTAATAAATCCTTAAGATATATATATCTCCAGTTCTGAAGGAATTGTTTCTCTTCATATTCTTAAAAAACTGTGACTCTCTTCTAAAATTACTACTTTGTTTCCACCGAGTAGCAGTGCAGTGCTCCAAAGTTTCCTACATGCTGAGCAGTTCAGCCATGGGAGTTCAGTCCAGTTTCCAGTTGCTATCTGCTAAGTCACATGTCCAGCCGAGGCTGAGCACCAGTGGTTCCTTACATGCATCAGCTGGGCTCCAGTCCGACCCCGCCAGCCATGCTTCCACTTCACCTTGTTAATCTAGTGCCCACAGGGCCTCCCACGGGTCAGATCTCTCAGAGCCTTTTAATTCCACACGGTCCTTGCTGGGAGGAAGCCATTCAGCAAATCACTTTTAAAAGTCTCTAATACCTAGTTGTCTGACTGCTTTAGAATAAACAGAATGTCCACGAGCTTCAGCTTCTTTCCTAAAAATGTCTAACAAACTGGCAACAGTTAAGGGCCTAAGCATCAGAAGCTTCAAATTGATTATTCTTTGAATTTTTGTTTGACATTTATACAGAAGGACAGGAAAAAGTGGATTTTCTATTATTAAAAAGTGTGTATAGATTCAGAATCACTCAGTTACCTTTCTCTAAACAAACCTCTCATCAAATGTTCAAAGCATAGTCCATGTTGGAGGGAGGGGGGTACACACTCTCACGCACATATATGCAACCTACACATATATCTGTAGTTCTTGTTCTACAGTTTGTGCATGCATGTAATTTTAGCAAACCAGACAACTGGTGGCAGAGTAGAGGGCATAAAGATAATTGAAGAAATTAATAGACTCTGGAAAATTGCACTATGCTGTGCATTATTTAGTTTCAAAATTTCAGCAGAGATTGCACGTGCACATTGCCAACATACTCAAGAGAGTGAGGTCAGCACTTGTGGGGAGGGTGTTTCTTTCCCTTCAGGGCCCATCTGCTTCTGTGGAACAGGGCCAATGTACATTTCACAGTTACGGAAGGAGGAGGGTGTGGAGACCTGAGTTAACTGGCACCACTGGTGCTTTAATGCCCCTTATAGATTGTTTCCCCTGGATCATTGCCTGGCAATCTTGACCCATGACCTGGCTCTGACTAAATTCCTACATCCCTTATGAAGAAGCCAAATTATGTGTAAGAGGAGCTGATGGCATGTACTTCGGCATGAAGTTTTCATGGTGCCAAGGCTATATATAACCTTTTGTATTGGGGGATGGGAGTGGAGTGGTTGAGAAATGCCTATTTGGCTATTCTGAGCAGGTGGCATAAAGGTTACCCAAACTCTTTTCTCTCCTGGGTATGTAATGTATTCTGCACCTGTAGGATCGTAGCGGGACCCAGGAGACAGAGACTAACAAATCCAAGTTATGGAATCAAGAGTGTGAGGAAGTTGAGAACACCGCCATGGGAGTGGTCAAAGTGATCACTGTAGAGGCTGTGCCGGGAGCGGCTGGTATATGAGGAGAAGGTGTGGAGTAGCTGGTGGCCTGGATGAGGCTGAAGAGCACCTGTAGTGGGAGAATGGGAGTCAAAAAGTTGAACAAAGAGAGGTTGGTGGCATAGGGGACCTTCTGATAATAATGCCACAGGTAGAGTGATAAGAAGGTCCAGAGTAGAGCTGTGGCAGAGAGCTGTCCCAGGGGATGGGTGTGAAGGTCTTAGGAGTTGTAGAGTAAAGGAAATTCGAGGCTAGGATGGTTGGTTGACCAGTGTGAATATTGAAATTACCTGAGATAATGCTTGGCTCAATATGGAGAGGAAAACGGTGAACCAGATGCCTCTTCAGTACAGAGGAGTGAGAGAGAAGAATGTAGGTAACAGCAATGGGGAGGAAGACAGGAAGGTTTAGCAGACAGTAGGCACCTACTAAGTTAAGAAGGGTGCTAGTGTGAGGGCAAAGAGTAACGATCAGAAAGTGGCAAAGGAGCACTGAGGCCTGCCCTTCCTCCGTCAGCCCTACACCCCGTCTCTCAGGTGACGGCTGGGAGAGCAGCCTCCCCTGGGAGGGCAGCGGGGGATGCGGAACCTTGGGCAGAGTCAGGTTTGGGGAGGAACAGGAGGTAGCTGTAGCATTCCGAGAAGCTAAGGAGTGTTTTTACAATGGAATGGGGCTATTAGCCAGGAAAGTGCACAGAATTTGGAAGAGGTCAGCAGTAGGAGGAAGGGAGTTTCCCAAGGTACCTCAGTACTACACAGAAATGAGCATCCTAAGAGGGCAAAGGATACAGAGCATTTGCTTTGGGGTGGTGGTGGAGGTATCAGGAGTAGGGGATAAATAGAGTAGATGGTCCAAGCAGGCATCAGCTGACACCCCAGGCAATGTGGAATATTGGGTGACAGCAGTTAGAGGCCTGCTCTTTTGTGCTAAAGACCAACAGAGACCAGCTAATCTGACAGTGATTGGTTCCCATGTACTGGTTTATAGAGTAGTGTAATTTTTGCCCCAAATCTCTCTTCGACTCCATGTGCTCATGGGCCACATTTGTAAGAACTTACCTAATTAGGACTCCAAAGTCTATTTAGTTTAAACTTTTAATCTGTTTCAAGTTATTATCACCAATTTATATGACTATCACCAATTAGCTCTTAGGTTTCAAGAGCTAATATTGGAGCATTTATTGGGATTGTGCAATATTATTCAAAATTCAGCACAACTTTCCGTCATTTTTCAATAGATTTGGGTTTTTTTTTTTTTGCCTATTGCACATTGTCAAATACAGATTACATCTTAGTTTTTCTTTAAAAACAAGTAATTGAATTATATGAAATCAGAAGTTTATGTTTCCAGCATAGAATGACTGTTTTGATATTCATGATAGGGCTCAAAAGTCAAATACTATCTTAGAATTTTAGCCTTAACAAAAAAATCATAAATAAAAGCCCCATTTAAAAAAATTACAGATCCATAACTAAAAATGAGTAACGTAGGGGCCGGCCCGCTGGCGCAGCGGTTAAGTGCACATTTTCTGCTTCAGTGGCCCAGGGTTCACCGGTTCGGATCCTGGGCGCGGACATGGTACCGCTTGGCAAGCCATGCTGTGGCAGGCATCCCACGTATAAAGTAGAGGAAGATGGGCACCATGGATGTTAGCTCAGGGCAAGTCTTCCTTAGCAAAAAGAGCAGGATTGGCAGCAGATGTTAGCTCGGGGCTAATCTTCCTAAAAAAAAAAAGTTAATAAAAATGAATAACTTAGCACTTTCAGCTAACATCTACATGATTCTGATGCTTAATGCACTCAGATTGCTCAAGTAAACATTACCATTGATGCTACCCATTTCGTGCTACTGGCCTCTGGCAGCACAATGGAAATTTGGGAACTTGTAAGAACAAGAGACATATCAGACACCAAATCTGTCTGCCTAACGGTACGTGTAGAAGAGACAGAAACTTTGAGTTAGTAATGTTTTTATTTAAAATGTCTGGGTCTTAAAAACAAAACAAAACTGTATTTTGTCTTTCTTCATCCTTGAGGTTTCTCTGGCTTTGCTTCTTAAGAGCGATTCTGCTTGCAAAGTGTGGGTTGAAATTTAGATATGCTTTACAAATTGAAACATGAAATTGTGTCCCTGTGGGAATGTGACAGTTGTCCCTTACATCGAAGGCCCCATGGCTCACTGAGAACGGCTGGGAGTGCCCGTGAAGCACACATTCTAGCCCATCTTTCTTCATGCCGGCTGTCTGGATGACGCTTCGATCCTAAAATATTGGGTGCTCACTACTAGCAAGGAGACCACCTGTTGACTCCCTTGCCAGGATCCCAAACAGACAGTAAATAAAGAGAACAGAGAGCAGATTTATGAGGTTACTTCTCACCTTGGCTGAACTTTCAACTTGGGTATCTGAAAGAATAGTAGGATTTTTGTGGTTTGGAGAAAGGTTAACTTACCTTATACACCAAAGGCCCAGTCCCCAGAAATATGGCCTACAGCTATGTATCTGAGCTAAAACAAAGGCCAGCTCTCCAAAGTGTGCTCACCTGACCTGTTGGCCCTGATAATTGGTGCCAGGTAAAGGAGTGACTTTTTTTTTACTGCCCTCTCCCTCGGATAAGGCAAAGTAGTCCTCATATATTTTGCTTTTCTTTACTGCAGGACATTTGTGAAGATATTTCTGATCATGTTGAGCAAATCCATGCCCTCCTTGAAACGGAGTTCTCCCTGAAGCTGCTGTCCTACTCCGTCAATGTGATCGTGGACATCCACGCAGTGCAGCTCCTCTGGCACCAGCTCCGAGTCTCGGTGCTGGTTCTGCGGGAGCGCATTCTGCAAGGTCTGCAGGACGCCAATGGCAACTACACCAGGCAGACAGACATTCTGCAAGCTTTCTCCGAAGAGACTAAGGAGGTGAGTATTTTCTTTGAAGCCAAGTAATGCGTTGTCAAGTGTGACCATTTGAGAATGTTTTCAGTTCAAAGAGGTGGGATAGGAATAGAAATAAGCAGGTCCTGAGCTGCTGACCAGAGGCGAGGGTACTTCTAATGGGAATGTAGCTTTAGTCCAGAGTCAACTCACACCTGGTAGTTTGCACAGATACCACCCATAGTTGATGGTGCTAACCTGGCTTCCTCTTCCTCATTCAATTATTTGATAAATATTGATTGAGTACTTTCTGTGTGCCAGGTTCCAGGTGTTAAGAATATAATAGTGATGAAAACATGGTCTTTGCCTTTAAAGAGCTTAGAGTCTAGTGGGGGATAGGGAGAAGTGGACAGACATTAAGGCCAGACTGTGATAATTCTACATGATGCCACTGGAGGACAGAGAAGGGCACCTAATTTAGACGACAGGAAAGTCTTTCCGGAAGTGTGAGTCTAACCTGAGATTTGAAGGAGAAGTAGGATTGGACTTGTAAACGAAGGTAGAAAATGTTCTAACAGAGGAGTGGCATGATCAAAGATCCAGAGATAAGAGAGAGAGTGACAGACTCAGAGAGCTACAGATAGGACTGGAGCAAAAAGTTCAAGGGACCAGGAAGCGGGATTTGAATTAATGGATAAGAGGAGGTCAGAGCATGAGGATGAAAAGCCATAGTAAAAAGCCATATAAAGAGAATTGGACTTTACTTTGAGGACAAAAAGAATTTGTTCAAGGAACAGAAAGGATTAGATTCATGCTTTAGACAAATCATTCTGGATGCAGTTTTTCAAATGGACTTTAGACTTTTACACAACCAATATATTTAAATTTTTTGTATTTAAGAGTAGTTTAAAAAGTTAGTTGTTGTTGGGAGGTGGCCTGGTGCTGTAGTGGTTAAGTTTGGCTGACTTCACTTCGGCTGCCCAGGTTTGTGGGTTCTGATCCCAGGTCCAGACCTACACCACTCGTCAGCCATGCTGTGGCAGTGTCCCACATATAAGTAGAGAAAGATTGGCACGGATGTTAGCTCAGGGCTAATCTTCCTCAGCCAAAAAAAAGAAAAACGAAAAAAAGAACACTGTAAATTTGAGTCCAAGTGAACTCTCCTATTCCCAGATAAAATTGACATATATTCATAGAGCGAAGCATTGTGCTAGCTAAGCAGGGGCTATATGTGTGTGTGTGTGTGTGTGTAGATAGATACCATATACAGATACATAGAGCATGTGTGTAAGTATATAGTACCTTGGCTCTTGACACCCAGTTTAGTGGTCCAATCTTGGTTTTGTGGAAAATATATATTACACAAGTTTATAAGGCATAAATATATAAGATTAAAAGACATTATAATGTGTTGCATAATTAACTAATTACTAATTTATTAATCTTTCAGTGGCTCCAACATTATCAACACAAAACAAATCTGTGCCTATTCTCATGAATTATTTATACTTGTTGGTTATTGTTTTCATAATAAGGTGCTCTTGCTGTGGCAAATTCCCCGCAGGCCCTAGAAGTTTACGGGAATCAGAATTACTGGGTTTACTTCTAACTGGAAGTCACGTTCTTTGTTTTCATTTAGCTTTCCCTGTTGTTGTGGTGGTGAGGCAGGTGATTAAACTTTGGTGGAGTCCTTTTTTTTTTTTTTTTTTTATTAATGTTATGATAGATTACAAGCTTGTGAGATTTCAGTTGTACATTTTTGTTAGTCATGTTGTGGGTACACCACTTCCCCCTCCGTACCCTCCCCCAACCCCCCCCTTTTCCCTGGTAACCGCCGATCAGATCTCCTTCTCAATATACTAATTTCCACCTATGAGTGGAGTCATATAGAGTTCGTCTTTCTCTGACTGACTTATTTCGCTTAACATAATGCCCTCGAGGTCCATCCACGTTGTTGTAAATGGGCCAATTTCGTCTTTTTTTATGGCTGAGTAGTATTCCATTGTGTATATATACCACATCTTCTTTATCCAATCATCAGTTTCTGGGCATGTAGGCTGGTTCCACGTCTTGGCTATTGTAAATAATGCTGCAATGAACATAGGGGTGCAACGGACTCTTGAGATATCTGTTATCAGGTTCTTAGGATAGATACCCAGTAATGGGATGGCTGGGTCATAGGGTATTTCTATTTTTAACTTTTTGAGAAATCTCCATACTGTTTTCCATAGTGGCTGTACCAGTTTGCATTCCCACCAACAGTGTATGAGGGTTCCTCTTTCTCCACAACCTCTCCAACATTTGTCGTTCTTGGTTTTGGATGTTTTTGCCAATCTAACGGGGGTAAGGTGATATCTTAGTGTAGTTTTGATTTGCATTTCCCTGATGATTAGCGATGATGAACATCTTTTCATGTGTCTATTGGCCATATTCATATCTTCTTTTGAGAAGTGTCTGTTCATGTCCTCTGCCCATTTTTTGATTGGGTTGTTTGTTTTTTTGTTGTTAAGCAGTGTGAGTTCTTTGTATATTATGGAGATTAACCCTTTGTCGGATAAGTGGCTTGTAAATATTTTTTCCCAATTAGTGAGCTGTTTTTTTGTTTCAATCCTGTTTTCCCTTGCCTTGAAGAAGCTCTTTAGTCTGATGAAGTCCCATTTGTTTATTCTTTCTATTGTTTCCCTCAACTGAGGAGTTACAGTGTCCGAAAAGATTCTTTTGAAACTGATGTCAAAGAGTGTACTGCCTATATTCTCTTCCCAAAAGACTTATTGTCTCAGGCCTAATCTTTAGGTCTTTGATCCATTTTGAGTTTATTTTGGTGTGTGGTGAAAAAGAATGGTCAATTTTCAATCTTTTGCATGTGGCTGTCCAGTTTTCCCAGCACCATTTGTTGAAGAGACTTTCTTTTCTCCATTGTAGGCCCTCTGCTCCTTTGTCGAAGATTAGCTGTCCATAGATGTGTGGTTTTATCTCTGGGCTTTCAATTCTGTTCCATTGATCTGTGGACCTGTTTTTGTACCAGTACCATGCTGTTTTGATCACTGTAGCTTTGTAGTATGTTTTGAAATCGGGGATTGTGATTCCGCCGGCTTTGTTTTTCTTGCTCAGGATTGCTTTAGCAATTCGCGGTCTTTTGTTCCCCCATATGAATTTTAAGATTGTTTGTTCAATTTCTGTGAAGAATGTTCTTGGGATTCTGATTGGGATAGCATTGAATCTGTATATTGCTTTAGGTAGTATGGACATTTTAACTATGTTTATTCTTCCAATCCATGTACAAGGAATGTTTTTCCATCTCTTTATGTCATCGCCTATTTCTTTCAAGAAAGTCTTGTAGTTTTCATTGTATAGATCCTTCACTTCCTTGGTTAAGTTTATCCCAAGGTATTTTATTCTTTTCGTTGCGATTGTGAATGGGATAGAGTTCTTGAGTTCTTTTTCTGTTAGTTTATTGTTAGTGTATAGAAATGCTACTGATTTATGCACGTTAATTTTATACCCTGCTACTTTGCTGTAGTTGTTGATTATTTCTAATAGTTTTTCTGTGGATTCTTTGGGGTTTTCTATGTATAAGATCATGTCATCTGCAAACAACGAGAGTTTTACTTCTTCGTTACCTATTTGGATTCCTTTTATTTCTTTTTCCTGGCGAATTGCTCTGGCCAGCACCTCCAGAACTATGTTGAATAGGAGTGGTGAAAGTGGGCACCCCTTGTCTTGTTCCTGTCCTCAGAGGGATGGCTTTCAGCTTTTGTCCATTGAGTATGATGTTGGCTGTGGGTCTATCATATATGGCCTTTATTATGTTGAGGTACTTTCCTTCTATACCCATTTTACTGAGGGTTTTTATCATAAATGGGTGTTGGATCTTGTCGAATGCTTTCTCTGCATCTATTGAGATGATCATGTGGTTTTTGGTTTTCATTTTGTTGATGTAGTGTATCACGTTGATTGACTTGCGGATGTTGAACCATCCCTGTGTCCCTGGTATAAATCCCACTTGATCATGGTGTATAATCTTTTTGATGTATTGCTGTAATCGGTTTGCCAAAATTTTGTTGAGGATTTTTGCATCTATGTTCATCAGTGATATCGGCCTGTAGTTCTCCTTCTTTGTGTTGTCCTTGTCAGGTTTGGGGATCAGAGTGATGTTGGCTTCATAGAATGTGTTAGGGAGTTCTCCATCTTTCTCAATTTTCTGGAACAGTTTGAGGAGAATAGGTATTAAGTCTTCTTTGAATGTTTGGTAGAATTCTCCAGAGAAGCCGTCTGGTCCTGGACTCTT